TTTACATTGTTTTCCATGCCTTTAGTGGTTTAAAGTATATGCTCTGAAGTAAGTCTGTATATGATGTGTGTAAGCAAATGACTTCTCAGAGCCTCTATTTTCTCATCTAGAAAATAGGGATAACATTGCCTATGTCATCTCTTCAAATGAGGTTATGCATTTATAATAATTAGTACAATGCCTGATGTGTATTCAGAGCTCAATAAATGTAAGCTAAATAACATGAGTTATATTCTTTTGACATTATCCTTTAGGAAGTAATTTGGAATGCAGATATCCTTTAGGAAGTAATTTGGAATGCAGACAGATTTCTGCACAAAGATTTTATCATAACCTTAATTATAAATGTGGAGACCACTTGGAAGTAAATGTTCAAACTACAAGAAAAATGGCAATTTTTTGTTTACTCAATTCTAGAATATTATGTAGTTAAAAATGATGCTGACAGAGTCCCTAAAAACATGTGAGAATGCAGATGATATTGAGTGAAATAACTATTAGCTGGGTGCAGTGTGTGCGCCTGTAGTTCTAGCTACCTGGAGGCTAAGGCAGGAGGATTGCTTGAGCCCAGGAGTTTGAGGCCAGACGGGGCAACATAGTGAGACTGTGTCTCAAAAAAGAAAAAAAAAGTACTATATGCCCACATTTAATATCTCATTTATGTAAAAATCTATATATGTCAAATTGTATAGAAAGAGAACTAAAAAAAATCGATGTTAGTAGCCATTGACTCTGAAAGGCCATCTCAGGGTGATTTTTATGCTTTTTAAACTTTGTAAAAATATTTTTTATATTTTCTTCCATGGCTTACTTTGTAGTCAGAAAAATAAAACTTCCAGATCCCTGTGTGAACCTACTCAGCCCCCCTTCTGTGTGAATCACAATAGCCCTGGGCTTGTGCCTGAAGCCAGCTCACAGGTGGTGCCTGGTGGGACTGGCTGCTTGTAGCCTGTCTTACTGAGCTCGCTGTCTGCCCCCGGGAACCATGCTTTTCTAGTTGTAAGTCAGAACACTGGTATTAATCCTCGAGCCCTTGTTGCTCTGATTTCTGGCTTCTTTCCCTGCATGTCGTTACTCATTTTGAGGTCTCCCAAGGAACTCTCTCCTACAAAGAGATTTTGACTTCGAGCCTCTGAAGAAAAAAGTGTGTCCCAGGTTTTAGGAATTTATTTCTCTCTTTAGCTTGGTTTAATAAAAATCAGTCAACCAACTTTCAGAGCATATTTATTTAAGTGGTATTCTGTTGGGCATTGTAGATGACAGACTTGGGAAGGAAGGTTTGCACGAATGGATTAATGTGGGACCCACTCAGATTGTTGTTGTGGAATGAATCTGTTCACAGGACTGGGTGTTCAGCAGGACTTTTTAAACCATAGTATGAATACCGGTAGTGAGCAAAAAGTCAGAGTCCAACTTTCCAAGCTCAACTTGTTATAATCTCCTGTGTAAGACAGAACCATACACTAACTTGGATAAATGTGATTCCTGGAGTTGGTCCAGGACAACCTGGAGTTGGTTGTCTTATGTTTTTAGGTTTTATTTATTGCTTTTGCCTTCTGGGTACTCAGTCTATTGTATAATATGAAATGCCTGGAGTTGATCTAATACATTCTTATGTCTTAACATGAGACCATGTGAAGGAGTAAAGACCCTGAGTGATTTCAGAGTCTCTGCAACTCTTGAGCCCTTTCTATTGGCCTCTGGTATCTGTAGACCAAAGTCTGATCTAAACAACCATGTCTGGCTTGACACCTGCAGAGACATGATTAGGAAGACAGAAGAAGTTGAAGGTTGTGAGGAATTCCTACATTTATCAGTTAGCTGGAGGCAGAGAGAGAGAGCTTAACCAAGAGAAAGGCCAGGATAAATCATGCTGAGAGAGGAGGGCTGGTCAAAAGTGCTTTGTGTTGCAGAGATTTCAGGTAGGATAAGACATTAGAGGAGGCCATCAGAGACCCTTTCAAGAGCAATACCATGGTAGAATTGTGTTGGAGGCAGATTACAATGAGGTGAGGACTGGGGGGCCAGGACATTGGGTGATGAGGCAAGGCAAGAGAGGTGGTGTTTGTAGAAAAAAAGCAGTAGGTGGTGATCATGTTTGGAAATTGAGGTTAAGCAGAGTGTGAAGAGAGATGGAGGAGAAAAGGTAGAATAATGTCGAAAATTGGATCAAGATGTAGGTAGAAGAATACGCCATCTCCTTCTCCTGCGAGAAGGCGTATTCTTCTACCTACCTGCGAGAAGGAAGGAGATGGAATAAAGTGGGTCTAGATAGATGTTTTGAGGTGGAAGTGGTGAAGCTGGTGCTCATGCTTGATGCTGGAGATGAGATCCCCTGGGAGGACATGTGTGGGTAGGCAGGGTTGGGTGGTGACTTCAGAAGAGTAGCAAGGGCTCAAAAGCAACCACTGGGAGCCTGGGAAGGAGCACCATAAACCTGACTCCAACTTCCTTTAGAGATAATTAGCACACGTTACATTCCTCACTTAAGCAGAGCCCCAAGATCAGACAAATCCATAAATATTTATTTACTGTACCCACAAAATACTACAGAGATCTGTTTACTTTCTCTTCAAAGTATCCCCTTGGTGATTTTTTTTTTTCATTTCTTTAATTGCACACCAGAGAAAGCGTCTGTTAGATGCAACTGGTCTTTAGACCACAGAACACCCGCAGATCTTGTTGATGCATGCCTGAGTCCAGAGAGCTCTGTAAGCAATTGCTTGAAAGAGGAAGAGGCCATGGCATTTCAAATAGTGGAGCCTCGAATCCATAGCGTCTCCTAGGTTTCCAGTGCTAACATTTACCTATCTGTTAAGGTAATCGTAAAACACTGTCACCTTCATTTGGCCTTGCAACTTTCAAAGTTTTGTGAATTTCCCTTTGCACAGCTAGGATTGTGCTCCGGGCACTGTGAGGAGGGCATGGGAAGAGAGAACAACACATACCAGATCTGGGAAAAACAACCTCCTTATCAAATTTCCCTCTGTTGTTATTTCCTTTATAATTTACTGAAGGGGTGTAATGAGGATTAATTTAGCTCTTAGGATATCATTAATTGTTCCTAATATTGGCAAAAGTCTGCTTGTAATCTGAAACTTTACAAGTTCAGAGAAAGGGCAGGGGCTTTGAGTTTGTGTGGTGCTGGAAGAATCAGCATCTTTGAGGAGGACTCTTGGCTTAACTCCTGGGATGGCCACACAGTTCTTAAAAAGGGTTCTCATGTGGATGAGTGGGTGCCGGGTGTGACAGTGACATCTGCTCTTGTGCAAGGAAGACATCAGATGATCAGCAATTAAGAAAGTGTCACCAAGAATCTATAGAGAAAGACCCGTTTCAACAGATTTCAGGGCAGGCCGTCTATTTTACTGACATAGATTTTGCTAGATCTATATCTACAATCACTATTACAGTCTCTAAATACAGAGCCATGAGATGAAACAAGATATTTCTGGGCCCTGTGTGGTGCGTTAGCAAATGCAGACAAGTGCTTTGAATCCTGCAGGGGAAGAGGGAAAGGCCCTGCAGCGAGACCTCTTTCTTCTCTTTTTCTAGATCCAGCTCCTTTTTCATATAGGTGCATAATTCAGGATTTGTGTGGTTTCTCTTGCCTTTGGGATGAAAGGGACTTCAAGTTAAAAGCAGGTCAGAGGAAGTTTTCACCCACACGGGAAGAGGAACATGGTCAAGTTCTTTAATAAAGGATGACTATTATATGAGCAAGAACAAGAGACAGTGCTGGCTGTAGAATATAATTTGTTTTATAGCTTTAATCCCAGCTAATATGACAGAACTGCTATAAACCACGTATCCAGTCTTTTCAACTTAAAACTCACAACTCTTCTTCATAGCTTTATCTCACTAATTAAAGACTAAAATTTTCCAGCAACTCAATCCTATTAGCTCCTAGCCCCAATCCCTCCATACTGAAGGCTAAGACTGGCACGCTGACCCTGGAAGGAGCCCTGTGAGTGGAACTCTTGGCTCTTGCTTTCCCAGAGCTCTTGGGGGACATGCTGATAGTGCTGATGCTACAGCTTCTGTTAGGCTGGCATCCTCTTTGTACCCCTAGCAAGCATCTGTCCCACGGTGCCCTGTACATGAAGGTCAGTACATGGGAAAGGGATGAAAACCCAATTGTGTGCAGGGCCTGGCATTTGCTAAAAGCCTCAAACACAATGTGCTCAGATCCCCACTTGTACTACACTGATACATCCACTGATATGGTCTGGGGAACACATGGCTGCTCTTTTGCTCACCAGTGAAAACCAAGAGGCAGGGAACTGAGAGGAAAGAAGTTTATTTCTGAATTTGGAATTCAGAGAAACAAGCTGGTGTAGACTCCAAGGCCAGCTCAGCTCCTCGGATTTTAAAGTCTGTATTTATAAGCATAAGCATTGGAGTTTGCTATTGATTAACATCAAACTATACAACTTACAAAACATTCTATAAGATTCCAATTACAATTGCGTTTCGTCAATAACACTCATTGTTTGCACATTCTGGTACCAATACCAGGAACCTATTAATTTTTGTTTATCATTAACTCTAAGCAAAGGAGTTAGCAGAGCTTCCTACAAAAGAAAGCATTATTCATTGAGATACATCATTAGCCAATGGATACGAAAAAACAAAAGAGTGTACTGGTTACAGTTATAAGACTAATATAATTATATTTCTAACTTTATTGATCATATAAATGAATAACAATCTATTTTACTGACTATGTGAATACAACCATGGGTGCAGTGACTTGTCCTGTTCCAGGGAGGGTCAGCGCAGTCTTATAATTCTAAGGAATGTGGTGCCTGCAGGGCCGTAACCCTGAGCAACCAAACGTGATAACAATCATGAATTAGTGTAGTGGGTCTCTTCATCACTGCCTGTGGCCCACTCGCCCTGTCTGTGCTGCAGTGCTGGTGACTGAAATCCCTTCTGCCCATGGTTAGTGATCAGACTATGCTCACTAGCGTCTATGCCTTCTCTCTACTCACCCCCAGACTGCCACCCTCTGTGCCAGCACTGTGCAGCAAATCTTCACAATACCGGGAGCCTCTGCCTGCAGTGCCAGAATGCCCGCCACCTGCTGCTTGGGGACCACTGCATTCCCAATTGCCCTTCTGGATACTACACGGAGCGGGGCACTTGTAAAAGTGAGTGGGTGCTGGACTCAGGGGCTGGGTGGCCTTGTGTGTTTCTCTTTGGGGTGGTAGCTGAGAAGGTTTCAACTTCCCGAATCAAGAGAGATGTCAGGAAGCATGCTGTGGGACTATAAACTGGACCAGCTACTGCTCTCAGCATCGGAGATTTTGTACCTGGCATGGGGCGCCACTTTGGGAGAGCATCTGACCCTACAGTTTTTGCATGTGTCTCTCCTCTCTGCAGGATGCCATGCCTCCTGCAGAACCTGCCAGGGCAGAGGCCCTTTTTCCTGTTCCTCGTGTGATGCTGGCCTCGTTCTTTCCCACATGGGCACCTGCAGTGAAGCCTGCTTCCCGGGACACTATCTCGATGACAGCCATGTCTGCCAGCGTAGGTTTTCAAGTGAAGGTTCTCTCCTTTCCCCCCTGCTGGAGCCATGAAAGAAATGTGTGGTTCTAGCTTTCATCCTCCCACCTGGTAGCCTTTATGTTTATAAAAGGAAGAAAACTAGTCTATAATGGCATCGGCATTGGCAGATCAGGACTCAGATGTCGGCTTTATTGAAGTGCTGGGCTAGGCAGGTACAGGTTCTCCTCTGTAAGGACCAACCGTGGATCTTAGATGGGTTATTTCTACTTCTCTGTTCAAATTTATCTCATTTCAACAATAAAAGTGTTAGTCTGTTTCATCTTTATAGTTTCTGTCAGAAGTCTGATTCTATGATCCCCGGAAGAGAGCAGAACTTGTTATAGTACAGTCAGTGGACTAAGCACGTCTCTGAATTGAATTTGTTTTCTACATGTATTGGTGAATATTGACAATGTACAGGGCTGTACATGCTCCAAAATGTTCCATATCTGCCCAAACAGTAGTTATTTTGCCTTGCATGAGAGTTACCTGTATAGATGTCTTATTTCTCAGATAAGTCAAAATATGATTAATTACCTTGAGTCAGGCACAAAGAGGATAAATTAGAGAAAGAACAAATCTGCGTGAAAAAAAAAATTAGGAGATCCTTCACAGATGAAGAAACATTTGTGTTGGGCTGAGACAGCTCACTTTATTTCAATCACCAAAGTATCACTTGCAAAAAAATGTGTCATGCTTTTGAAAATGACAGTTCATATAGTGGTGATATTTCAATTTTGAGAAGGTTTGAACATGGTTTCAGGAAGTACTATGTGGAAGGAATAATAGGGTCATGGTTAGGAGAGTAGTCTCTAGAGTCAGGGAACTGAAGTTCAAATCCTTACTGCCAGTTACAGCTTTATGACCTTGAGCAAGTCAAGGAACCACAAAGTCTCACTTTCTTTTTCTATAAAATAGGAATTATAACAGTACCTGCATTTTAATGTTGTTTCTCTTAGCACAGATACTAGCAGAGAATAAGCTATCAGTGGAGATTAACCATTGTTGTTATCATCATCATCATCATTGTTGTCATCTGGAATGAGAGGCAAATAGAGCAGGAGAAGATATTTATATTTTATAGATATAAAGATAGATATTACTGTTAGTTCATTGAGATGCTTGCAAGGATTTACATTTGAAATTAAGTTACATGGAACTTACCCTTTTGCATCATCTATTGAGACACCAGAGATAAAAATATTGTTTTGGCCAATAGGAAGATTTTTTTACTTTTGGAACAAAAACTTTGCTTGGTATATATCAACTGTCTGCCAGAATCTGGAGATTCTGTAATACAAGAGACAGGAATGAAATGCCTGCATGTTCTATTTGAGAGCAAGAGAGAACTGGTGGAGAAATAGTGACTTAGATTTATGAGACTCTTCACAGTAGTAGAATCACAGAAATAAAAGTTCAAAGGAAAAAATAGAATCCCTTGTATGAAGTATAGGTGACAAAAATACATTGCATTGAAAGATGTCTCTTCTGGGAAGCTTTTCTCTTGGTGTAGGGTGGCCTCTGCACAAATGCATTTGCTATGCTACTGTGTAAATAGGATTTCATAGAATATTTCAGTTGAATTAAGAATCTCCTAACTTTAGTCCTTAGGTTTAATTTTAAGATTGAAAAAGTATGCCCCTAAGTTGGGATATTTGAGGTTCTAGTATGTAAGAAAAAAAAAAGAATAAGAATAAATCAACAATGTTCCATTCTAATGCTCATCATTATAGATAAGTATAGGTCTGTCAACTTAGAAATTGTGCAGTTAAGGGCTTTTGAGGATATATAATCAGTCTGAAAGGAGGCATTATTAGCCATTAAGGTTACAGAAATCTTTAGAAAGTTGGAATTATTAAAAGTTAAAAAATTAAGGGATAGCTGGTAAAAAGTTAAATAAGGTTCTCAATACTTGGAACCACAGTGCTTTAAAGTTGGAGGAAAACTCCAGGGTGACTGAGTCGACCTTGCACCCAGGATGGAGAGTCCTCTCTCTCAGACTCTGCAGGTGAGGAGGGAAGCCTGTCCCATTGCTGGGGAGCTGTAGTTGCTGGACAGTTATTTCTGATTGGCCCTAGAATTCCCTCTGGAGCAATATAGATAAGTCTCCCTCATTCACATGATTACCTTCAAAAGTTTGAAACTGTCACTTCCCACATGGACATCTCTACTTCAGGCAGACCTGGAGCTGATGGAGTATTTAACCAAAGGTTGATGACTATTCCTCAGACCTATGGTAGACAACAGGTCTATTTAAGAGTGAGTGAGAACCACACACGTGAGGTCCTTCATGCCTCAATGAATGATGGTCACAGCTCATCCCTGACTCGCTCACCACCTTCTTCCTACACTCCTGGCTCTCTCCATGGGATCAGTGACCTCAGAGAACTATCTGTGCTGCTCCAGGAGTGGCCACACCAACAGGACCGCATCAGGACTGATACTTTTGGTGGCCTGAATATATCTAGATGGAGGCTGAGAATGAGGTCGGCCACTTGCTGACTGCCTTGGGGAGGGATGATAGAAAGGAGGGAACCAGACATGGTGGAAGCAACCTGCTCATCAGTGAGACACTGTTGCCTCCCTCCAAATCCTGTACTGAGTTTTCTAGCCTTTCAAGATACTCAACATGAATCCATTTATTTTAGAAGTCAGGAAAGAGGCTGAGTTATGCATCAAGGCTCCAAGGCAGAATGAAATACTGCACAAAAAGATTTAGGAGCACAGCAGCAGGCAGGAGCTTGAAGAAGTAAATCATATGAGACCCTCAGGTACCAGGGCAGGAAATTGGCCTCGACCCCAGGCTGAGGAACTGGCATTCTGCCTCACACTGCAGCTCCCTGTCAATTCAGTAGGTTCTGCTGACATTCAGGTTGCATGAGGACTCTTCAGCTTAAGACAATGTTAGTACCTTCAGTAACCGTAATACATTTTTCGTTACTATTAAGTCTTTAATTGACCAATAGTCCTGGATTCTTTTCTACAGAAACTGCTGTCTAAGTGGGTCTTCATCATCCAGTATTTGTACAGTAGGTTTCAGAACATAAATGCAGGGAATTCTGCTTACTTCTCTTGATTACTTTATTGAGGCTTATTGTTTCAGCTAGTTAAGGTAACTGAATTGTTGTTCTTTTAGCTGGTGAAGCTTACCTACATATGTTTCCTACATAGGGACATGTGGCATATCTAAATATTATTAGCCTGATGTATTTGTTTCTATTAAAATCATTAATAAAAATATTGATCAAGTAAGGAATTAAGACTTGATCGCTATAATTCTCTACTACAAACATTTTATTTATTTATTTATTTATTTATTTATTGCCAATTACAAAGATTTGCTGATCGCTTTTTGAATATGGTTTTCAACTATCTTCAAATCCATCTACAACTACAAGATCTCTCCTCATTTTTGTGTTTACAAGTTTATCTTTAGAATCTCTGTCAAACACTTTCCAACATGAAGATACACTATGCAAAGAAATCCTAGCAAGAAAGTTTAGTCTCATAGAAGCTTCTGATAGTTAAAATATTCCTTTCTTACTGTAATTTTTTTTTTTTTTTTGAGTCAGAGGCTCACTCTGTCACCCAGGCTGGAAGACAGTGGCACAATCAAAGCTTACCACAGCCTCAACCTCCTGGGCTCAGGCAGTCCTTCTGCCTCAGTCTCCCAAGTAGCTGAGACTACAGCCTTGTGCCACCATACCCGGTGTACTTTTTAAATTTTTTGTAGAGACAAAGTCCTGCTATGCTACCCAGTCTGGTCTTGAACTCCTGGGCTCAAGCAATCCTCCAGCCTCGGCCTTCCAAAGTGCTGGGATTACAGGCGTGAGCCACCACGCCCAGGCAAAATATTTTTCTAATTATCCCAAACAAAAAAGTAGACCTAGAGTTCTCCTAGGATCATAAATTATCAATCTATGTATTCTAATGGATATTGTATAGTCATTGCTTCTTTGTAGGTGATGCAATAGCACCTTATCTCTATTTTGCAGGGAGGTAACTTTCCTGCTCTATGCTACATGCTTTGATTTCATATGTATCTAAAACTCATTGGATTTCTCTCTAAGCTTTTCCTCTGACATGCTTAGAGAAGACTTCAGAATGGGGCAGAGATGCTGGTGTTTATATATAAGTCATGCTGTTAACTGACTTCTTTCATTTATGTAGCAAGTTTTACTAAACATCTACAATATGACAAATCAGCAGCGAGGTACTGGTGAACATTACAAGAAACAAAACAAACCTAGTCTTTACTTTCATGAAGTGTACAGCTTAAAGGACATAAATGTTAAACAAATAATCAGTTAAATAAGAAATTGTTATGCATGGCATGGAAAAAATGTATAAGATATTGTAATGGGAGGTGTGTTCTCAAATGGAGAGTCCGTAATGTTCTTTCAGAAGAAGAGACTGAAGAGTAAGATCTAAGGACTCAGAGATTATATTAAGAGAATTCTAATATGTACATTGGGATTGCCAAGTGGAGAAGGTGGAGGGAATGGTGGGGGCACAATATTTGTAGCAATGATGACTGGAGACTTTCCAGGATTGAAAAAAAGATATTGAGTTTGTAGGTGAACATATACTCTGAGCCTGAGTGGTGTGAGTAAAACAAGTCGCTCTGGTGGATACATGGAGCACAGCTTGCATGGGGATCAGACTGGAAATAGTGAAGCCAGTGAGGAGGCTCTGATAGTCCAGCACGGGTGGTGATGACTTGGAGGTGTTAGCATCTGTGGGTATGGGGGAAGCAAAAAGTTTTGAGAGTTGTATTGAGGAGTTTGAATAAATAGGATCCAGCAAGTAATTGGATGTGGAGTCAGAGAAAGGAAGGTGTCAGCATAGACTCCAGGGATAGCATGAACAACTGAAGAGATTGAGAAATGAAGGAAGTTGGAAGCATGGCCAGACTGGGAGAGCCTGAGTACGTGGCTGGCTGCTGAGAAGTATAACTAAGCAAGTCAGTTAACCAGTTCACTTCTAAGTCCTTTGCATCTTAAAATACAGGACTTCCCAAGCTTCACAATACTGTTGGTGCCTGATTTGCATGTTGGCATTCCACAAAAATCTGAATGTACATCATAAACTATAGGGAGGTTGGTCCCTTAAGAAGTAAGTTTCAAGTTCTGAACTATAATTACAGAGATCTTAGGGTAAGTATAGATTCTGTTGTTGAATCATAGGGCGATTTAAATGTGGGATTTCCATTCTTGGGTTTATAATTTATCTTCTTTGGAAAACCAGATTCCTCTTTTTTATTTTAATACATAAAACTCATATTTTCTGTGTCTGTCGCTCCCAGAGGAGGGCTGGGAGCCGTGATGAGAGAACAGGTTGGAGCCTGCCTGGTTCCTGGGCAACAGCTGTCAGGGTCTGATCAGTGCTTGGTATTTGCAATTGTAATCATCTGGCCACTTTCTTTTCCTGTCTGCTCAGCTTGCAGTCCACACTGTGGGAGCTGCGATTCCCAGGCCAGCTGCACTTCCTGCCGAGAGCCCAGTAGGGTCCTGCTCTTTGGGGACTGCCAGTATGAGCATTGCGCCCCGCAGCACTACCTTGACTTCTCCACCAACATGTGCAAAGGTGAGGCTCTTCCTGAACTGTGGAGGGGTGCTTTCACTCAGGGATACCACTTCCTACAGATACCTCATCCTCCGCCTTGGGAAAATACCATTCATCATATGCTTGAACTTTCTCTAATGATAGCAAGAATCATGCATCTATGTATGCATTCATTTATTCATTCCTTTATTTATTCATTTATTAAGCAGAATTTTTTGAGTGCCTACTGTGTGCCAGACATTGTGCCGGGTTTTGGTAACGAGACTAAAGGTGGCACACAAGAAATGCTCAGGTTGTATTTGGCCCATAGATATGTTTTGCTTGGCCCACCTAATGTTTCAATGCTTTAAAATCTTTAATGATTTCTTATTTAAATATCAGAAGATTTCACATGCAAAAATTGAGATTTTTCAGATATATATATTTTTAAATCAGAAGATCTAGCGATGTTGGATTTGTATCCCCACAGTGTGATAGTAGGTTGGAACTGTGTGGCTGTTGTCCCTGCTGGATGGAGCATGATCTCTTCAGCTCACCATAGTCTCCACCCTTCCCTATTCTGTCATGCCAGGCCTATTTTGAAGATATACATTACCTCCCTGGGTTGTAGATGTTTGCATTTACAACTCTAGATTGCTAGACTCTCAGCTTACAGAGTTGTGTCTGATTTGTTCATCTCTGCTTGACATGCATAAATGAATAAAGACACAGTCCCTGTCCTCAAGGAGTTTACAAGGAGATGCTGTCAAAACCCATGTGCCTTTTTCCTTACTCTCCAGTAGATGGAATTCCTGGGGCTTACGCTCTTGGAATGGCAGTGCTCAGCAAGGGTGAAACAGAAGTAAAGGACAGGTTTTGCTTGACCCTATCCATCTCCCCTCCTCATCCCAACCTCCTTCCACATTTACCTCCATCCCTCTGACTCTAGCATGGACGCTAGAGTAGGATATAGAGGTCAGACATCTGTTGTGTAAGCGCATCTGTTGTGTAAGCGCAGGATGCTTTAAAGCTGCATGAAGTTGCCCACTTTCCATTCCAAGAAATTCTTCTCGGTTGTCAACTTAGGTGGTCTGCTGGGCTCCACGACCACAGAAACTTTTCTGTTTTTTTTCTTCTAACCAGTGGCTGTCAGTTTGCGGTGAAAAACAAGATGATCACAAATCCTCCCTGTTGTAAATGATTTCATAACTATGCTGGCAGTTTCCAAGGCTCTGTTTTAGTTCTTTTCCCTCAGGACTGATTCAGCCAAATAAATGAATGGGATTAACTTTATAAATCTTCTTGGAAGCATGTGTACTGTCTTGCACATTTACCTGCATTTCAGGGACTTAGAAATACCATATTGAGGAGAGAAAAGGTGATTAACGAGCGCTTTCTGCAGCTTCTTAGTGGGGAGGGAGGTGGGATGAGGCGGCCCTGAATGGAGATGCTTCTCTAAGAAAAACAGTTTAGCTGCAAATATTTATTGAACTGTTACTGTGTGCTAGGCTCTGTGTTAAATTCTTTGCCTTCATGATTTCATTTAGTCTTCACAATACCCTTATGAAATGGGTAGTTTTCTCATCCCTGTTTTACAGATGGAAAAACTGAGACTCAAAACGTTTAAGGAAAGAATGAAGGATAATGCAGATAAAGGGCAGCAAAGCCTTGACTTGAATACAGCCTTGCCTTAACTTCAAAACCCATGCACTTAACCATGCTACCCTGACCCATCTTCCATGCACAGAGGGCCTCCCGGCCAGCTTTAACACTGGCTCTCAAACATAAATTGTCTGCCTGCATCATAATTGCCTGCACCATTAAAAACAATAGCAAGAACAATTATAATAATCATAAAAACCAAAACAACAATACCAGTAGCAACATGTTTTACTGAGTCCCGACCCCTGAGATTCTGATGTGGTAGGTCTGACTTTGAGCCTGACAATCTGTGTTTCTAACAACCCCTTGGATTATCTGGGTGCACATCCAAGGTTAGACCCTAGTAGCACACATGCTCCTTGAGGGAAGGGTCTACATCTTTCCCCACCCTCTTCAGTGACATGTATTCCATGCGTGCCTCTTGAGCAAATGAACATGCAAACAAGTCAGTTCTACTGCCCTAAGTGAGACCTTCTACTCTTCCAGTAAGCCCTTTCTTCCTGGACAGTTCCTTCATGCCCCGTTTAGCTCTGACAGCCTTGGTTCTTTCTGTCATGTTGGTCAGATCCTGGTGTTATAGAGACTGAAAGTCATGCAATTGGTGTCCTTGGTGGTGGCAGATGGCTCCTAGTTGAGCCTCTGACATCCCTTTACCTACTGAGTATTTGGAGGAGGTTGGGATTAGGTTTGTGGGGCAAGTTGGCCACTCCTTATGGCAGGATTTTTATGGAGACTTGGCGTACCACCTGGTGAAGAACTCTAGACCCTGAGGACTGAGGCCAGGCAAGTCTGGCTCTTCTGCTGCCGGCTGACAAGCAGGCTCTGCACAAGCATGGCATGTTCCTTGTGTGTGCCCACGTCTAACACAACGAGGAAGCACTTAAGCCTCAGAGAAGTGCTTGGGGCCACTACAGGCAGAGGCCTCGTGTGCGCCCACTTATCTGACATCACCTGCGCTGTCCTTATTTTAATCCCTGCAACGGCAGACAGTGTCCTCATAAATCAGGCTCAGAGACCGAGGGTGGACAGGAAAGGCACTGGCCTGATGCAGACTTTCCTTTCAGAATGTGACTGGAGTTGCAATGCGTGCCACGGGCCTCTGAGCACAGACTGCTTGCAATGCATGGATGGCTACGTCCTGCAGGATGGGACATGTGTGGAGCAGTGCTCGCCGGCGTTCTACCGGGACTCAGGCCTCTGCAAGAGTGAGTGTCTGGAGGTCTCATTTGGGCTGGCCACCTCTGAGTTGCACACATGGGAGGACCATGTTATTCCACCTGCCCCTGAAGCCCTCTGTATACCATACACCTCACCATTACTCCCTCTGGCCTCAATTCAATACCATGAAATCTTCAGACCTGAAATTCCCACCAAAAGTGCACAGACAGCATCCCAAGGAGCATTTCTGGGAGACTAACTTGGTGAGTCAGGAAAGATGGACACTTTAGTAAAACAGTACTAACAGCCAAAGAGCAGTTAATAATAATAATTGATAATATCTGTCAATTATTTCATGGTTTACTGGTGGTGTCCACTATTTAATCTGACTTCATCTAGGGTGGTGGGTGGGACAGTATTTCCACTCCAATTTTATAGAGAAGAACATGGAGGCTCAGAGAGGTAGAGTGACTAACCCTAAGTCACCCAGCTGTTGAGTATCGTAGTCACAACCAGAACCCTGCCTCCTCGACCCCTCACATAGTGCTTTGCAGTGCTTCAGGCTATACTGCTGCCTTCCCACAAGGGTCTGGAGTCCCTCTGAAAGCCACGCACAGATTCCTGTTGATTTTTGTCTTGCAGGCTGTGGCAACCACTGTCTCCAGTGCCAGGGACCCCATGAGTGCACCCGCTGTGAAGGGCCGTTTCTCCTCCTGGAAGCCCAGTGTGTCCAGGAATGTGAAAAGGGGTACTTTGCAGATCACGCAAAGCACAGATGCACTGGTAACTTGGGGACTGTGCTGAATATTCTGGAAAGAAGTGGGGGTACCAAGTTCATCATGTGTACTGACTCTCTGGTTTAACTAGGTGTGTCTGAATTGGAAGCAGAATGAAAACCCAGGGAGTGTGGCCAAAGTAATGACAGTTCCTCATGTGTATCTGCCATATGTCAGTTAATAGGATATAGGAATGCCGGCCAATAATTTTCTTGCACAAGTCAATATTATCCCTAAAGGTCTTTATGGAAACAAAGCCAATCTTTTATGGAATGTAAAGCTTATATTGAACTACAGTGAGGGATCCATTAAGAGTGGGTCAACCCTATTGATATGGACTTAGAATTTTCAGTGTGTAGACTAAATCACCCATGACTTTGATATCAGCATAATGCCCTTGAGGGAGTAGTGTTTTGGGGGACAATTTAGTGAGACACAGGAGCTTTTATTAAACTCAGTTTAAACCCAACGTCTTAATCTCCTTGTCCACTGGATTATCTAAGAGTTTCCTCAGTTTGTTCTCATCATTTTTATCAAATCTTGGTTCTTTGTGCTCCACTCTGAAGAATACCTGGCATTTAATAATAATGCTATTAACCAGGCATAGCATTTTACATTTCACCAAATTTTCCCTACCTACATGATCTATCTCATTTAATAGTCACAGTGACTTGGTATAATATGGCAGATACTATGAATTCTGTTTCACAAGTTTTAAAAAAAGAGAGAGAGACCTTAAACGTTAATCAAGGCAACATAAGATTAGAAATTAAACCTAATTTTTCTGATTCTAATTCCAGGCCTTTTAAACTTTGCTATGCACTCTCTCTGTAACAAAATCTCAACTAAGAAGGCAAAAAAGTAGGCAGTAAACAGTCAATTCATAAAAGATTATTAACTTGACCCAAAGAAATAATCCTATGATCCTTTGAATAGCTGACTCTCCTCATGCATTTAAAATACTACTACTAGGCCTGGTGCTGTGGCTCACTCCTATAATCCCAGTACTTTGGGAGGCCGAGGTGAGAGTATTGCCTGAGTCCACGGATTCAAGAACAGCCTGGGCAACTTGGTGAGACCTCATCTCTATAATAAATCAAAAAGTTAGCTCGGCATGGTGGTGCATGCCCATGGTTCCAGCTACTTAGAAGGCTGAGGCGGAAGGATCACCTGATCCCAGCAGGTTGAGGCTGCCGTGGCCAAGAGCGTGCCACTACACTCCAGCCTGGGTGACAGAGTGAGATTCCAACTCAAAAAAATTTAATTAATAAATAAATAAAAACATTACTGCTGCCACCACCAACAACAATAAGAGATACAGTGATAGAGGTAGAGCACTCAAGCCCTTTCTGTGTGCCAGACACGACTCCAGTCTTTTCATACTATAATACAGGTCATCCTCCCAATAACTGTCTGCTTTAGGAGTTATTACTATCTCCATTTTTGAGACAAGAAAATTATGGCACAGATTGTTAATAGAACATACCCAAGGTCAACAGCTGGTAAGTGATGGAATGGTATCCAAAAAAACCCTGTGTTCTTAGGCCCTGTAAAGTCCTCCCTTACAAGCTGGTTTTAAATAGTGCATCTACGTGCAGCACTTTTAGATTGCATTGTGTCAAGCACAGAGCATTCCTCCCTATTTGATTTCCTTCTGATGGTAGATCGGCTCCCATGAACTTCTGTGGGGAAACTGGTGGAATTTCCTCTTGTTGCAGTGGGGGATCATTTGTTATTTGCCCTCTAACTCCTCTGGTGTCAATCCCTTTATGCCTCTGTTCCTGGCTGTCCCTGCTGGGTGTCTGTGCCTCAACTGTGCCTCATTTAGTATGTCTTCTTGGCAGCCTGTCCTCAGGGGTGCTTGCAGTGCAGCCAGAGGGACCGCTGTCACCTCTGTGACCACGGGTTCTTTCTGAAGAGTGGCATTTGTGTTTTCAACTGTGTTCCTGGTTTCTCTGCCCACTCCTCTAATGAAACCTGTGTTGGTAAGTGTTTTTCCCTGGAGGTTGGTGAATTTACTAGTAATGTCTCTGTACAAAGGCTGAGTTTGCGAGTTTGACGAATTCATGGTATAAAATGTAACATTTCTGGTCTGGGAAAACCACTGGTGCTGCTAAGGAATGAGGAGCTTTTTATACAAGCAGAAATTGGAGAATTGGGAAAACTCAACTTCTGTATCTTTGGAAGGGAAAGAAGCAGTCTGTGCCTGAAAAGTCATAGCTATGAGATAAGAAATTTGGCATAAAACTTAACTGTGTTCCTGAACTACAGCCACGCTATAGAAAATTTCACGTATATAGTCATGTGTCATGAGGTTATGGGGACACATTCTGAGAAGTGCATTATCAGGCAGTGTTGTCATTGTGCAAACATCTTAGAGAGTACTTACAGAAAGCTAGATGGTGTAGCCTACTACACACCTCGACCATATGGTATAGCCTGTAGTTCCTAGGGCACAAACCTGTATCGCATATTAGTGTCCTAAATACTCTGGATAGTTGTAACACAATGGTAAGTATTTGTATAGCTAAACATATCATATTTGTATAGCTAAACACAGAAAAGGTACAGTAAAAACACAATAGTATAATCTTATAGGCCCACCATTATTTGTGTGGTCTATTATTGATTGGAACATTATTATGCAGTACGTGACTATTTATATATATAATTTATTTAAATTTGTATGAACATATAGTGCTAATTATACCAAGGGGCAGTGATGCATCCTTTGTGAAAACAGTAGAGATACATTACAAATAAATAACCAATAACATGCGGAGCCTGCCTCATGTGGCTCACTTGTCTCAAGTGAATGGATTCCAAGCCACCTTGCTTGCCATTAAGAAGGTAGCATGCTAAAGGAGAATAGCTGGTCTCTCCCAACTCACTCGTGGAGACTCTATCTTAAACAAGGAGAAGCGAATTTAAATTTAGTCTTGGGCCAGGCTCGGTGGCTCAGCCTGTAATCCCGCGCCTTTGGGAGGCTGAGGTGAGTGGATTGCCTGAGCCCACGGGTTCAAGACTCGCCTGGGCAGCGAGACCTCGTCTCTACAATAAATCAAAAAATCAGCTGGGCATGGTAGCGCATGCCTGTAATTCCAGCTACTTGGAAGGCTGAGGTGGAAGGATCGCCGGAGCCCAGCAGGTGAGGCTGCGGTGGCCGGGAGCGGCCACTGCACTCCAGTCTGGGCGACCGAGTGAGACTCCAACTCAAAAAAAAAACAAAAAAAAAATTTTAGTCTTAGTCAGGCACGGTGGCTCATGCCTGTAATCCCAGTATTTCAGGAGGCTGTGGCAGAAAGATTTCCCAAGCCCAGGGATTTGTGACCAGCTTGGGCAACTTGGTGAGACCTCGTCTCTACAGTAAGTCAGAAAAACTAGCTGGGCATGGTGTTGTATGACTGTAGTTCCAGCCACTTGGAAGGCAAAGCTGGAAGTATTGCCTGAGCACAGCAGGTCAAGGCTGTGATAGCCGTGACTGTGTCACTGCACTCCAGCCTGGGCAAGAGGGTGAGAATCCAACTCAAAAACAAAAAAATAAAAATTAATTAATTAATTAAGTCTTAATTTTGAACCCCAAAAGTTTTGTAGATGAACAAAGCTTAGGAGTTATGTGACTGAAAGTTCCCTTGGCTTTTGAGTGTCATTCCTCAATACCATGAGGCATTTTTAACATCCACGGTCAATCAGATTTTCTATCTCTGTATTTCTGGTCTTTAAAGATATTAAAACTTTCATATGGGAAGAAGTATCTCTGGCTTATTTTATTGGGATCCTTCTGGAAACTCCAAGTACTTGAGAGTCAGCTTACTCCTTGGGGGACATAATGCAAGTCAAGTTGTAAAAATGAATTGACTTTCCTTAGAGTAGAAGTAGTCCCACTGAAATGTGGCCTTTCCAGACCATCCTGTCTGACCTAGTTGTAGACGGGAACACTACCAGTTAAAGCCCAAGTGGAGCAACTTCCAGGAGACAGAATGAATTCTACATCATGGAAGAAAATATTTATGTATCCAGACATTTCATCCAGACAGAGATTGTAAAATCTTAAGGCAGAGTATGTATATATCCCATGAATTCTGAAGGTGAGCCACTGATAATTCTCCTTCATTGTAGATTACCTGACGCTGCTCCAGGAAACGGTGTCAGACACTTGCCTATTTTCTTGCCTCCAGTGAGTCTGATGTAGCAGGTGTATCAAGACAGGACTGTGGTTCTCAAAGTTGGGCCTGTTACGCCTACCTGGGAAGTTTGTGAAAAACCTGAGGTCCCACCCAGAACATCCAAGTCAGAAACTCTGGTAGTGAAGCCCAAATTTTGATATTGTTATAAAGATCCATATATTATTCTTTATTATTATTATTGAGATGTAATTCACATACAATAAAATTCATCCTTTAAGCATACAATTCACTGTTTTTTACTATATTCACAGAGTTGTGTGACTGTCACCACTAATTCAAAACATTTTTGTCGCACTAAAAAGAAGCAACATAACCGTTATCAGTTTCTGCCCATTCTCCCCCTATGCCAGCCCCTAGCAACCACTAATGTACATCTGTCTTTATGGGTTTGTTTATTCTAGGCATTTCATATAAATGGAATCATGCAATTTTTGGCAATTTTTGTCTGGATTCTTTTACCTAGCATAATATTTTCATTCATGTTGTAGCATGCATCAGCATATCCTTCCTTTATCTTTTATGGATGAATAATATTATGTTATATGGATATGCCAGTTTTATTCATCCATTCATCAGTGGTAGGCCATTTGAGTTGTTTTCACTTTTTGGCTATTATAAGTAATGCTGCTATGAACATTTGCATACAAGTTTTTTTGGGCAAATGTTTTCAAGTCTCTTGGGTATATCCCTAGGAGGAATTGCTGGGCCATATGCTAACTCCACATTTAAGTGTTTGAGGAACTACCCAACTGGTTTCCCAGGTGACTGCACCATCTTGCACAACCATCAGTGATGCCTGAGGTTCGGATGTCTCCACATCCTCACTAACACCATTGTCTCTCCTTGGTGGAAGGGAAGTTATACCTTCTGTGTTTTGCTTCATTTCCCTGATGGCTCATGATGCGCATCGGTTTACGTGTTTATTGGCCTTGTGTTTATCTTCTCTGGAGAAATACCTATTAAAATTCGATGCCCATTTTAAAATTGGGTTATTTGTCTTTTGCTGTTCAGTTATAGGAGTTCTTTACATATTCTGGAGACAAGTCCTTTTTTTAGGTATGGGATTTGCAAGTATTTTCTCCCATTTGTGGGCAGGCTTTTCACTTTCTTGCGGACGTTCTTTGAAACACAAAGTTTTTAATTTTGATGATGTGCAATTTATCTATTTTTTCTTCTATCACTGGTGCTTTTTGGGTCATGTCTAAGATAATATTGCATAATGTAACATCACAAAAATTTACTCTTGCATTTTCTTCTAAGGGCTTTTAGTTTAACTCTTACATTCAAGTCCTATGTTATTGTCATGTGCATCCAGGTTGACAACCAGTGGGAGGCTTACAGTATACAGCAGCCCAGAACTTCATCTGTGTAGCTCGGAGTTAACATTCTGAGCCCAATTCTTTAAAAAGAACATAATAAAAGAACAGAGCATGGGGGTTGGCCAAAGGAAAATGGGACTGCCTGCAGGTGGGGAGCACTTTGGAGCCTGAGACCGGCAGGATAGTAGGACATACCTGACAGATGAGGTCCTGAAGACAGGGACTGGTTTCAGGTTAGGAGTTGTTTTCTCACCTATCTGTTTTTAAAAGAAGAATGTGGCCGTTAGACTTTGGTTTTGGTGAAGAATTGGGAGTGGCCTACTCCAGTTATCAGCATGACTTCCAAGCTCCATATCTTCTACATGGTAGACATGTCAAAGAGCAGGAGCAGGTGATTTATACCTGAGAAGCCCCCAGTGTGAGGAAAAGAGAGGTCATACTTACTCCTCAGGGATACTGAGGCACCCTGGAGTGAACAGATGTTCTTCTGTAATAGTGTTATCAATAATGCTTTACACTAAGGCACACTTTTATATACTGAATCCGAGTCTGTTTTTTGCTTTATATTTTCTCTCTGGAAACTTGAAGGAGGTGGTCTAAAAAATAAATTAAACAAAGATAGAGGGAAAAAATTACCTGATTAGTGAATGTATCAAGCTTGACCTTAGACTCATGTTTTCCAGGCAAAATACACACCCCCAGTCTTCATGTGAATGGCTCCCTGACCCTCCCAATCGGCTCCATGAAGCCTCTGGACTTCTCCCTCCTGAATGTCCAAGACCAGGATGGCAGGGATGAAGACCTCCTGTTTCATATTGTGAGCACGCCCACCAATGGCCAGCTGGTGCTCTTGAGAAATGGAAAAGAGGTTCAGCTGGAGAAGGCTGGCCATTTTAGTTGGAAAGATGTGAACGAGAAGAAAGTGCGTTTTGTGCACAGCAAAGAAAGGCTCAGGTGACTCGGCATTCTCTGTTTTCCTCCTGCTCCTCCTCATCATTGCCTCCTTCCACCCTCCTCTTTCTTCCCCAGCAGCTCTCCCCTGGAAGGATCGATACTGCACAAGCCCAAGGCTCTCATCTTTTTCATCATCCCCCTTACTCAGAGCGTGTGCTTCTTTCTGGGAGATGCATTTTCATCTTCTCTCATGATCAGGGATCATTCTCTGGTGCTATGGGAAAAGTCCTAGTACCGTTACTCAGATTTTTGGCCCAGCAGAAACAAAAGTGGATACATCCTCTGATGCTATAGCTGCTGCTTCTGCATCAGGGCAATCCACTGGGAGTAGGGCAGGTGAGGAGAGAGTGTGTGCTCTTCAAGGTGTGGCATGGGTCCCAGGATCCAGAGTTGGAAGGAAACTCAGAGTCACAGCTAACTTTTTATCATCCACATGATAGGATTAATTGTGGTAGGTTTTAAGCCTGATCCAATTCTCCCCGATGCTAAGCACACTTCTGGCTGTCTCCCCTTCTGCTGACATGTGCTTCAGGAATTCAATTTAATGTTAATGCTAATCCAAGCAAGTATCACTATATAATTAGTAGGGACATTTATCAAACAGAAATGAGAGAATGCATCCCAAAGATTAGCTTATTAGACTATTCTTCACCCTATGCCGCTTCATTAGTGTGATAATTCGGCATAGACTACATGCATAAACAAGAAATTGAAACCATTGCACAATGAACTACATTTTCTACTGTAAACCCTAAACTTCAGAGTTGTTTTATTTGTCTGTTTTTGAGTTGGGGGCCTCACTCTGTCACCCAGGCTGGAGTGCAGTGGCACGATCAAGGCTCACCAGAGCCTTGACTTTCTGGGATCAGGTGATTCTTCTGCTTCAGCCTCCCAAGTAGCTGGAACTACAGGCATGTACCATCATGCCTGGCTAATTTTTTTATTTATTTGTAGAGATGAGGTCTCGCTATGTTGCCCAGGCTTGTCTTAAACTTATGGGCTCAAGTGATCCTCCTGCACTGGCTTTCCAAAGTGCTGGGATTACAGGTGTGAGCCACTGCGTTCAGCCTGCTTGTTTTTTGAATTTTGGGCTAGGAGATTGGTGGAGAGAAGAGTTCGTGGCCCTTTTTTCTATTGCAGTTTAGAGCTGATGATGCCAGTAACCTCAGAAGACCATAACATAGGGATAAGAACAACTAACATTTATTGAGTGCTAACTTTGAGACAGGCATCCTATTAAGCACTTCGCATGGATCACGTATATCGTGTTCTTAGACTACAGATAAGAAAACTGAGCATATACGTAACCTTGCCCAAGATTTCACAATCTGAGTGCAAAGCTGAGACCCCAAAACAAGACTCATGCCTTTAGCCACAATGATTTCTGCCCCCTAACATACTAGGGTAAGGGGGCAAGCTTTCATTCTCAAGTGGTCAAAGATCATCACACAGAGAAGTACTGCTGCAGGGATGGAGTTTAAAATTCTGGTATCTGATGCCATAGACTCATTCTTTAAATTCCTACTGTATCTCTTGCATTCATTTTTGCTACAAGAATTGTTCCTGAGTACCTTCATTGTATACACACACACACACACACACACACACACACAGACACAGACACACACACACACACACACAGCTGCACACCTCTGTGTCTATATACATTTGTCTTGGAATCACTTGTGAAAAGTGTAAAGCTTCGCTGATAACCAAAGTCAACGCTCTCATCTGTTTAACTTCTTTACCCTCTTATCACCTGTTTTCTTGCAGAATCTAGAGCTCTGCACCTCTAAACAGGACAAAGAATGATGGTTTAGGAAATCCTCACAGTACTCTTTTTGAGGTACTCATTTTAATACTAGAAATCTAACAAAAGAATGAGAGAAATAGTGAAATTAGGTTGATAAAAACTCATGAAAAAAAGGAGATTATTTAAGTCTCTGAATATTACAAAACAAAAGGGCCACCTGCCATACAAGTGTGTGCTTTGTTTTGTGTCCATGAAAACAATAACCCTGATTTTTTAGGATTGGAATTCTTTAGGACTGGATTCCTTTGGGCTTAGAAAGCTCCTGTGGGGTACCCATGCATGTAGTTGTAGGACTGTGATAAGCCAGCATTGTTTCCATGCTGAATGCTGTCAGAGAAACCTCAGGGGCACCAAAACCTGTGTTTTCCTGTGTGGTTGGCAGTAGCCATCCCTCTGTTCACTCTGTTGCTTCCAGTACTGCATTCTCCTAAAGCCTAGAGGTGGTGGTAGAGAGGGGCAGGACCCAGATGGGGCAGGACATGAGGGACTGTGGGAGTGGGGGAAGGCAAGAATACCTTTTTTAAATATTAGATTTACTGAGGGGTAATTTGCATTCAATAAAATTTCCTATTTTAGAGTATATTGTTCTATGAGTGTTGAGTATATACAGTCTTGTAGTCTAGAACAAACACAGTCAAGATATAAAACAGTTCCCTTACTGAAAAGTCTCCTTTTACTAGTTGTCTCCTTCTCCCAGCCTCTGGTAACCACTGATTTTCTTTTTATCCCTTTAGTTTCACCCTTTTTAAAATGTCATGTGAATGGAATAAAAAAATATGCAATCTTTTGCTTCTGGCTTTTGCCATAATGCTTTTGAGATTAATCCACATTCTTTTATGTATAAATAATTTCAAGGATACCTTTTAACAAACCTTTAAAACAGTGGTCCCTATTAGTCGACTAAAATTTTAAAATTCCCATAATGCATTAGTCACACATTTTACCAGTCAACAGTGAGTTCTGTGCTTGGTTAGACTTTGAAGGTGGGCAACTCTTGCCTTCCCTTCTAACAGTCTCTGATGCTGCTGGAACAACACTTTTTGTAGGAAGTAAGAACCGCAACAAAAGGTAAGTTTTATTATTAATTTGGACTCTCTGGTTGCAGGTAATGGATGTAAACTTGAGCTAGATTAAATAAAATCTTAAGGCTTGTTATAACATCGCAGGGGTTACTCGGATCTCTAAGACATCAAGGACAGTTGTACTGCAGGAAAAGTTCAGAAGCCAGTATTGGGAATGGGAAGCAAGACTTAGTCTCCTCTCATCTCTGTGTCTCTTTGCTCATAGCTTTCACTCTCTCCTTTCTTGAAGACAGGCTTGTTCCATATTCTCATCAATTCGTAGACTCTGCTTGCCCCATAGTTGAATACTGAGACCAACTGCTGGCTATCAGGTCATTTCCAAGTTTCCAGGGAAGACTCTGCCATCTTTCCCTGGTCTTATCCACAGTGTGTCTGTGTGGCTGGGACATGAGAAGGTGGACAAGCATGCCATATAGACACTGCAATTGTAATTGGGGACCCAGTCACAATAACCAGGCAGGAGTATTGGAGAGGGTTTCCTGGAAAGAGAAAATCACTGGGAATTGGCCGAAGACTATACAAGATCCTTTTTTATTCTTCAATTTTACCATTAACCTATAATACATTATTAACCTGTCTTGGTCTCACAACTAACTTTTCAGCCTTTTATATATTCAGTTTAGAAAAATAGGAAGCAAAGTGATTACATAATTATTATTGTTATTATATAATGAGATCTGAGCCCACATAGAATTTTTACCTTTATCTCACTATGTTCATCTTTATCTGATAGTTTTTATTTACAATGTAGATATATATTGTTGTAATGGTTTGATCCAAATTCTTACCTTACACATACCCTACCATTTATAATTCTTATCTTTTTAAAGACTAATGTAATGATTGTATTTTCTCATTCCTTTCTTTGGGACTTCTTTAGGAAAGGTTACTTTTTCCTGAAAATTAGTGACCAGCAGTTCTTCTCTGAGCCACAGCTGATCAACATACAAGCATTTTCAACACAGGTAACAAAAATGCCAAGCAAGTAATAATTTCACATGCCTATTAATTCTCAAGCACAAGTCAAGGTTTCGTACAGTGTTAGCAAAAATGATTGACCTAAATTAATCTTGTCTTAATTTTCTCATGAAATGCCACTGGAGTAATTTTTAGGACTTTTGGGTAATAAGAGCAGCAAACACAATTCCTAATACATGTGTAGTACCCTTCTTAGTGTTTCACATAAGTAACTCAGTTATTCTTCATGCCAACATTATAATTTATAGATGAGGAAATTAAGACACAGGAAAGTTAATTAATTTGACTATAGTGATATAGCTAATAAAAAGAGTCAAGATCCGTGGCTAGTAAATCTGGCTATAGGGTTCTAAACCATTACATTATGGTACCTTACTTTACTGAATCTGATCCTAGTCCTACAGAATAATTAGGAGCTGTTCAGTTATTTTTTTATTTTTTATTTGTTTTGAGTTGGAGTCTCACTCAGTCGCCCAGACTGGAGTGCAGTGGCCACTCCCGGCCACCGCAGCCTCGACCTGCTGGGCTCCGGCAATGCTTCCGCCTCAGTCTTCCGAGTAGCTGGAACTACAGGCGCACGCTACCACGCCCGGCTAATTTTTTGATTTATTGTAGAGATGAGGTCTCGCCAAGTTGCCCAGGTGGGTCTCGAACCCGTGAGCTCAGGCAATTCACCCACCTCGGCCTCCCAAAGCGCGGGATTACAGGCTGAGCCACCGAGCCTGGCTGGCTGTTCAGTTATTAAGGCTGTCCTTATTCTTAGGTAAATGATTTTGTGTTATCTAAATATTTCCCTCTTGAGTGTGTGAAATTTGCAGCAGTTAGAGGACCTTACTAAGAATCTACATAAATGAGGTGCCAGTGTGGTCATCAGCTGAGCCCAAATGTAAGGAAGTCATGACAGATGCTGTAAAACTCAGTGTGGGGGCCTTCAGACTCACCTCTCATCATTCATTTCTGTCAAGTTGTGCTTATGGTTCCAGAATATATATCATGGCAGGTGCTCAGAGAACTGGGCTTCAGGGATTGAACAGCTGAAATGTGCAAGAGAATAGGGAAATAGATATATTCATAAGTTATGAAAAGCAAGAGACGGTACCCCTCCCCACTCCCTGAACCAAGACTACCCAAATATTCAGGCCTATGTATTATGTTAGTCACGATTCAAGGAAGAGCACTAGATGATTGTTTTTAAACTACTATTTTTATATCTTTGGTCCAAAAATGAAAAGACCATGGATCACAGATAATAACATGGATGTTCAAGTGACTGCCAAATGGTGTTAATAACCCATTTCAGCTCTTCTTAAAGGTATAATCACATAAGGAATAACTTGGAGTTTAAAATGATTAGAAATTGATCCTAAGTTAATTTCATCTTCTGAGTGGAAAAAGTGAAAACACTTGGTTTTAATTAAAGCTAAAACATGTGATCTCTGTAAATATAGACCAGAGAACCACATGCAGTTGTAGGACTTACTAGCTTAGATGTTTCTCAGTTTACACTCAGGAGTTCTGTCTTTTTCTTTGGGTTAATTTAGTTACTCCAGTGAAAGACATAGGTAGGTGTTGGCAAGTCTTCCTAATCTGAAATGGTGAGTCTCCATGGTTCCCTGAGCTTGCTTGCCCATAATCAAGTGGTAGACAATGAGGGCATTTTTTAACTTTATTACATGAGAAACTTGCATCATTTTAACTTTTTAAAAATGAAATGTTAGCATTTTAACTAATTTTTGTTTCTTTAAATTTCTGAGATCCTTTAAAATGGGCTTGTGCCTCCTTGAGACTCCCTCATGTGAGTCAAATTAGTCTTTTCCATTTTGGGATTTTGACTTCTCCTTTGAACTTTGCTCTTTCAGAATATAAGGTGTCTTTTGTTCCCTTATACAGAATCACAGCTTTAGAATTCTCTCTTGGGAATTCTGAGGAGTAGCCATCATCTGATTTCCCACTATGTGATTATAATGATGCATTAGTTAGACATGACTTTAATAGAGATTGTAATTTTCAGGAGGCCAGGATGGTGCTTGAGTAGTTTTAAAAGAATGCCATTTGGATTAAAGAAGGCAGTGTGTTGTTGAGAAAAATCCTAGATGGTTCAACTTCAAATGTTATTTAAAAAAAAAAAAAAACCTGAGATAATGTTTCCTTTGGCATCTTGCCTCGAATTTGTGTGTGTGTGTAGTTTTTTTTTTTTTTTTTCTCTTTTTTTGTTGTGGTTCATTAGCTTTTATTTTTATGAAGGAACATTTTATCTGCTCATTCTGGTTTACAGGAAGAAACCTGGCAATCCTAAGGAGAGTTTATTAACTTTACTCTGTTAGCAGTGCTGCATGAATCACCCAGGTGGTTGCCTTGCTCACCTATAGCATGATCTTGTCAGGTTTCATGGCCTGAGTTGGGGTGGGGCTCTATCAAGATTTGACAAGAGAACCTGAAGAATATTACTGGGAAGAACCAGAAATAGTATGAATTCAGAGGGTAGAAGTATCCTAGTCTGAGTCAGCATACTGTAACATGGCCTGGAGTGAAGTGCTTGCCTCCCAAATACAAGTCCGAAAATTCCATACCTCTTGTTAGTCTCTCCTGAGATATAGTATAGGTTGAGATAGCAGAGAAATTAGAGATTTAAAAGGAAACAGCTCTCGTAAATTCCCTCTCATCATGTCTTAAAGTGATTTGAGACACCTCTAGCATTCAGAGGTGTGAAGTACCTTCAGCTACTGTGATGCTGGGACTGGCCACAGCTCTAACAAATGCCTTCACCATGGAACAGTTTGGCACTTTGCTAAAGCACCTAGGGTGTACTTAAAAGCATAGAAATAACACTCAGGTCTCAAGTGCACTGGATTTTCTGCTCCTTTTCCATGAAACAACTCTTCTTCCTCTCCTTCCCTTCAACTCGACAGGCCCCCTATGTGCTGAGAAACGAGGTCCTCCACATCAGCAGAGGAGAGAGGGGAACCATCACCACCCAGCTGCTTGACATTCGAGATGATGACAACCCTCAGGATGTAGTCATCGAAGTGCTTGATCCTCCACGTCATGGCCAGTTGCTTCAAACACTTCAGTCCCCAGCAGGCCCTGTCTATCGGTTCCAGCTGGATGAACTCTCTAGGGGCCTGCTCCACTATGCCCACGATGGCTCGGACAGCACGTCTGATGATGCAGTCTTGCAGGCTAGTGATGGATACTCCTTCCAAAATATACTTCTCCATGTGAAGACTGTGCCTGAGGTAGGTGTCATTCCTAGAGGTACAGTTGCCTTGCACCTAGATGTGATGTTCTACTGACAATGTTATTTTACATTACTCAGAGTTAAGATATGAATAGTTGTTAATTTATTCACACATAGCCTATTATTTATGTGCTTATTAGGCACCTGTTATAATGGGAGCAGTATAAGTTTTGTTAGGAGCGCCCTTGATCTGAAAGAGCTATCCCCATGTTCTGTACAAAATGGAATGCTTTAGAACCTTTTTTGTTTACTTATCAGCCATAAAAATGTGTTCTTACCCACTTATTCCATGCCTGAGCATAATCTTAAGAATCAGGGTATCCTGCCTGTTGTTGTCTGCCCTTCCAAGACAGTTCATGAATTGTGAAGTTCATAGTCAGGTAATCTTAATGTATAAAATGGGGTGAGGTCAGCCCTTCTGTTTGCCTAATGAAGTAGGATGAGCAAACTCTTTTGCTAATCACAGAAATCTCTGATCTAGGGAGTGAGAGCCAAGTAGAGAACATTGTGGCTCTGTCTGAGTCATTGACAGGCCAACTTTTTATGTTTTTGTCATATCCACAAATGCCTGTACTAGTATCTACTTAATAATTTTCTTTGAATCAACTTAGTCTTATTGTGGCCTCATTCTAATAAATGATACTTGCCAAATCATGGGCTTAATATAGAATTATACTTTTTTCTAAAATATTAAAATTAATATAATATTTTTTCTAAAATCTTAAAACTAACACATTTTTATGTTTGTTACTACATAAAATGTTTTAGGGTACTAAAAATGAAATGGCTATCACACTTTAGGAAATACTGTGCTCACCTATGCTAGACCAAGGAGACCTATTAAAAATACTTTCAAAACCTGTTATTTCATTGGATCAAAAATGACTCTTTCTCCTAGTAGTAGAGGGGGAAACAAATTTTTTTAAGCTTTCTATTTCAAATATCCCTGCTCACTGAGGCATCCTTAATGGTTTGCTAGAGAGACTGAATTGCTGAGGACAGTTTAAAATCACTCAACACTTTCTCATCAGTGATCACTCAAAATTTGTGATTGATCCTCGTGAAGGTGGAGAGCTGATTCTTGTATGGTCTGCTTGCTAATTTCTCAGTTTCCCGTCTCATTATTTTCAGCTGCTGAAAACAGTGATGGTGGCATGAGAGAGATGGGAGTAGAGATTCTGATGATGAGCTCGAGTTGGCAGATTGCTACCTTGCCATTCATCCTAATTATCACCCTCCAGCAACTGCCCTTGGAGATGAGGTTTAGTTCTGGGGAGATGAAGTCTAGAGAGACACAGAAAGTGTTCATGCCTTCTTCTTGGTTTCTTTCCAGACATTGTTATGGGATTTCAGTGCAGCCCCAGCAACTGCTTTTCCTATTTTGGTTTCCATCTCCATGTTTGGAGCTCAGCTCAATATACTGCACAGTCATATCTGCATGCTCAACTGAAGAATTGGCTATTCAATGAAATCAATCATGTACATCTACTAGAAGCCATAAAAGTTGTGGGGAATGGCCCAAGACTAAAAGGCATTTTTAGGATTTTAGCCACTTGAACTACCAAAGCAAAACAAAGAAAAATGAAATGTTTATTCATAAATAAGGTCATGCAGTTGTCTTTGTTTGACTCCTTAATGGTGAGTTTAGTCACCCCTCCTCCTTCCCCTTCTCATCCTTTCATCTTCTAATGTGCTGTGCTTTTCTACCTATGAGGCAAACTGTGACTGGCTCTGAGCCCTTGAGTTTGAATTAGTGAAACAGTGACCGGAGCCTCAGCATCCTTCAGGATGTGATAATGACAAATGACTGTAATATTGGTAATATTATACAAATATATGCTATTTTTTCCTTTTAGGGAATTCACAATGCTATCCCTTATATCCATTCTACTGATCTTTCCAATGTCTTGGTGAAGAAGGTTAAACAAGAGGCTATGAGACCTTACTTTTTCTGATGAAAATTTTACTATGGGTGGAAAGTTTCTTTTTTGTTTTTAACATTTAATAGGCACTAAAACTTAATGTGAATTATTCCATTTGATCTTCACAGTCATTCTATGATGTCTGTACAATTATGATCTCTAATTTCCCACAGAGGAAAGTGAAGCACAAAGAGGTTTAAAATTATCATTTTCATGAAAGTATTTAGTGCTGGAGCCATGATTTCATCTCAAATGTGTCTGCCTCTTACACTTACCCATGAGACTTTTCATTGCAGCCTGTATTTTTCAATGTTTTAGTCACATATATTCTTATTCCCTCAACATGTAGACTGGAGATAGTAATTTAGTTGATTTCTCAACGTTCTATATAAGAAGGCTGGCACCAAGCCTCCTGTCATCTTTCCTCTGAACTTACCACAGCTTGTTAAAAGTGAGGCTATTTATACCTGTAAGTCTACTGGGACCAAGTAGAAAAAAAGGCCTCAACTTTTATGACTTCCAGTAGATGTGTAGTCAGTCATGATTGATTTCATTCTAATAGCCAATTCTTCAGTTGAGCATGCACATTCTTACCTTGTGGCTACCTAGTGTTAAATCTGGAGTGAGGTCAACTGTTGACTGATGTCTAGCTGGTGGTATAAATGGAATGGCCAAGTGGCTTTGGTTTAATTCCTGGTGAGTGGGCATACAAATTAATTCTAATGTTATTCAACAGAAGAGTTAACCTGTCAAGGTAGATAGAAAGGGATAGAAAAAGGAACCTTTGTGAGAACAGGGACTATTCCAGCTTTCCTCTCTTGAGCAGGGCACATGATGGGAGGTCAGCACATTTTTGCTGGATGAGTGGATTGTGGAAGGATGCAATGGCTTGAGTGAAGCTGCTGCTGGTGTTCCTATCTTCCAATCCATCTCTTGTGTCAGATAAGAAGCCCTCAGGGCACCTCTGTGGATGCTGGGATGGCCCATCTGGAACCAGGTAGAGGAGCTGTCAGTTCAAACCTTGATCTTCAAGTTCTACATCACTTCCCCCAAACTTACATTTTTATCCTTCTCCTGGCAGTGAATAATCTTGACTGCCATTTCCAGACTTGCACTGAGTTGCTGGGGAGAAAATAGAACCAGGGCTGAAGTTGCATCATGTTCTGTTGAGAGAAGGAGGCAAAAGAAATAAAAAAGGATTAAAAAGTAATAGAGGATGCTCTGCTGAAAAGGCTTTCATTAATTGGGTGGATTACCAAACCCAAGCCTGCTAGCAATATGATTCAAAAGCAATTTGACATCTAATAAGGTCTAAAATGTGGGCAGGGAAAAGCCATGCTTATTGGTGGACTTTTCTCTCTGCTGAGCTTTCAAGGAATTGCCTTCTTTTTCATTAATTAAGGTGCCTCTGGAAATCATGACTTTTTTCCACTCTAGTAATAAATCTGATGATCCTTCTGACCTTCTTTGTTGTTCTTTGAGCAGTTATTTTCTGCAGTTGGGTAAAGCTTTAATGTTAAAAACCCTCAAGTGCTATGAACTTGATGGAAAATTCTATTGCTAAGAGTCCTCTCCAACTGTTTATCTGTGGTAAGGCCCATGTATAGATAAGAAACCCTGTTGTGTTTTTCTTCAATTTCATTAATGCCTTCTTTTCAGGTTGTTTTGCAAGGACACAGTTAGTTTAATAACAGTGACATTTATGAGAATTACAAATAACAATGGTACAAAAATGTTTATTTTTTGTAAATGTTTGTCTCATAAGTATACCAATCCTTGCCATATGTCAGGATTTCACCTTTTGGGAGGTTTGCTTAGCTTGTTCAATTCAGAGTCTCATAAGTTGCAGACTCAGAAAATGGGTGAAAATGTCATGTGTGTGTGTGTGTGTGTGTGTGTGTGCGTGTGTGTGTGATGAAATCTACATACAGCAGAGGTTCTATATTCTTGACCTGAGCTATCTGGCTTTTGAGGCTCATACACACGTTGTCAAGCACAGAAACAGTCCAATTCTCTCTCCCTCTTTCTTTATGTTTATATCCATACATTTTAGCTTATATTCATCCACCATCCCACATGCTCCTAAAGTTGAAAGTGTCCTACAACATTAAATTTTAATACCCAGTGAGAGTACATACCTGGGGAAGAGACAATCCTGTACCTCCCCACAGGAGATCTGCCTGACCATAAGAGAGTTCCGGGGGTTGGGGGGAGGGGAATGCAGCCCCGCCCACCTCCACTGCCCCTCCTCCTTCCCTGCTTCATTTTTTGAGGAGAGAGTGAAAGAGGTAGCTCTGTAGGAGAGACCTGATTAGAGGAACAATTACAGAGCCTGCCTCAAGAGGGCAGATTTGTTTTTTATTTTAGGTTTTTTTTTTTAATTTAAAATTTTGTTATTGTTTTTGGTTTTTTGTTTGTTTGTTTTTTGAGTTGGAGTCTCACTGTCACCCAGACTGGAGTGCAGTG